CGGGCGGCGCCGAGGGCGCCGACGCGGCGCCGTCTTGCTTGCGGGTGACAAGAGGCGACGGGCAAGGGGAGGGCACGGCGGCCGCGTGCCGCTTGTCGATTTCCCCTTTGCTGCCGCCGCCGCCGACGACCGCCTTCTTGGGATTGGCGCTGTTGAGGACGGCCTCGGCGAGCCTCTTGACCGCCCTGCTTTCCAGTTTCGGCATGATTTTCGCCAGGTAGGGCGACGACTTCTTGTGCACCACCGTCACGTGGCGCAGGACGTCGCGCTTGCGCCGCGACTCGTAGCGGCACAGCGGGCAGCGGTAGAACTTGATGAAGATGTCGTTGCCGTCCATGTGCAGCTCGATGTGCTTGGACAGGTTCTGACGCGAGCTGAACTGGCGTTTGCACAGCTTGCAGAAGAGCTGCTTGAAGTCGAAGCCCACCGACAGTTTGCTTTTGGCCGCCTGACCCCCGGTCAAGGTGGCGGCGGCCGCCGCCTTCGGGCTCCACGGGGTCTCCTCCTCCTTCACTTTCAGGGCGGCGGGGACCGCGGGGGCGCTTTTTGTTGAGCCGGTGCTGTGAGCGGGAGACGCGGGCGGGCTTTGGTCCATGTCCTCCTCTTGCTCGTCTTCTGAATGTTCAAGCGCTTCCTGTTTGACTTGGATGTTGTTGCTAGGCAACACTCTGCCGCTACTGCCGCCGCCGCTGCTGTTGTTGGTCGCATGTGCAGTTTGCGTTGTCGAGGCTGAGGTGGTCCCCAACCGGTTGCTTTTGATGCTGTAAATCTTGTGGACAATCCGCATGTGTCTCTTCAACATCAGCTGAGAGACCGACACAAAGTATTAGATCAGCACAAGTTTGACACGATCATATTTCCTTGGCGTGAAATGCTAAAAAGGCTTCGAACCTGTGAGCTGTAGTTCCTCTTGCACAGCGTGCAGCGGCTCGCCGGCTGCGCAGAGGTGCGAGGTTGACCCGGAGGCTTGGCGCGGTTCTGGTTCGGGAGCGCCGCTTTGGCGGTGACGGGGCCCGGCTTTGAGTTGCCGCTTCGCGGCGGCGAGGCGGCGCCGCCCTTCCTGGGAGGGGTGGACTCCAGAGACAGCGGTTGGCCGGGCCGCGAGGCGATGGCGGGGGTGATGGCGTCCCGCCGCAGGCCGCGGTGCACCTCGTCAAAGTGGCGGCGGACGTTGGTTTTGGTGGCGAACACTTTGAGGC